TGATAGTTGGAGCTGGACAACAATTCTGTGTGGTTTAAGCAATTGTGATGTGGGTTATTCCCATGATGGGATTGAATGTGTATGTTTTGAGCAGCCAATCCCTTAAAAGGGAGTTTGCCTAGGAATGTAGCCTGCTTCTAACATATTTTTGGACATCCTGGGAAAAAGAGACACTCTTCTATGAATTGGGATCCTGTTGAGCTGCCTACAACTGTCCGTGAGCAAACAATCCACCTTTTGGCCTGCAGATCTTGGATTCGTCATTCGTTGGAGTCAACAGTCAGTATACTGCCTGCCAACCTTGAGCTCGTCAGACCCTGCAGCTGCATGAGTTGGGAAAAGCCTCCAGCTTGATGTTTGATCCAAGAACTTGGGACTTGCCAGCTTCTGTAAGTGTGTGAGCCATTTTCCTAAGATAAATTTCTCTTTCTCCATATGTATATATAAGCTTTACTGGTTATGCTTCTCTAGAAAATCCAGCCTAACACTCTAACACACACACACACACAAAAAAAAAAACTCATGTCATTACTTGCTTAAAATCTCTCAAAGGTCTCCCTCCCCCTTTGAGATCAAAGCTCAAAATCTTTAATGTAGCTTACAAGGTCCTCCTCCACAACTTGGTTATCATCTACCTCTGCAGCCTCACCTCAAATTTCTCTCTTCCTTCTCTATTTAGTCATTAACTCAAACAATTATTTACTAAGTACCTAAAATATACCATACACAGTACATTCTACTAGTGATACAATGGTGAACAAAACACACGTAGTTTATGCCATACTAGCCTTTCAGTTCCTCAAATGTACCAAGCTCTCTAAATTCCAAGACTTTGTAAATGCCACTTCCTTTGCTCCGAATCAAATCTGCCACTCACGTTGCCTGGCTAGCTTCCCTTTAATCTTCAAATTTTAGATTTAATGTCAGTTCCTCAAGAAAGCAAGCCTTGCCTATACCTTAAGACTTGGTCAAACACTTAGCTATAGTATCCTGATTTTCTCCCTTATTTATTAATAAAATTATTTTTTATATTTCTGTTTTTCCTATCAGATATTAAAATATGCATCAGGAGAAAAACCACATCTATCTTGTGGCACTTATCTGTGATGCTGACATTGCAAGTACTTTTTTTTCATAAAGAAAAATACTTGGGGGGAGGCGGGGCAAGATGGCGGACTAGGCAGAAGGATTGC